GTTTTTGTTTTGATGAGCTGGTAAGACTGATAAGAGTTTATGTTATGTCTAAGCAATGAAAAAGTGACATTGCCTTACAAAAAATGTCATAAAAAACACCTCTAAAATAATGCAATGCAGCTTTAGTCCATGCATGAGGTAAAATGATAAAATATGTTTATTTTCTAATTCCAATGAGCTTAAACAGGCCGGTCAGAGTCAACCAAAGAGCCGCATGTGGTCCAGGAGATGTACAATGCCCAGGTCTGATTTAAAGGCACATTTCTCACAAATTATCTAGATATTGTAACAAAATTGTCATTAAAAAAATAGATACTTTCAGAATAAAAAATCTGATTGTATGTATTTTTTTATTTTTTGTCAATACCATCACTGAGTGGTACAGAGTGAATGAATAATAAGTAGGGATGTAACAATAACCGAAATATCCTGATCATCCTGATGTCAAAGTTTTCACAATAATATCGTGGACCATCACAATATATCGAATTACAAGTCTCTTTGCTTAAATTAAGAGCTATGGGGCAGCAATAGCTAAAACAAACAAACAAACAAAAAACAGAGGGAACTACATAGACCATAATCCTTTGCTCCATTTCAGTGCAGACTACAAGAAGAAATAACAATTCTAAGCACTTTTAAGACTTAGTTCTTTGGATTAAGTCTTGTCAAGGCATTTTAAGAGGAAAAAGTATCAGATTAAGAGTTTTGTAAGCCTCTACAGAATATCGCAAGAAATATCGTATCGTGAGATGTATATTGTGAAAATATTGTACAGAGAGATTTGGATATTGTTACATCTCTAATCGTGAGCCTGCCCATCATATCATGAACTTTCCCACGATATCACAATAAATATTGTACCGTGAGGTTCGTACCATAACGATATCGTATCGTGAGACTTGGATATCGTTACACCCCTAATAATAAGTAATGGTGTAGCGCAGATCTGGGCATTCTACATCTCTGGGGACACATACGGTCCTTTGGTTATGCTAATTTGGAATGACAAAATAAACATATTTTATAATTTGACCTCATGCATGGACTAGAGCTGTATTGCTTTTATTTTACAGCTGTTTTTTAAATAACATTTTTGTAAGGCAACCTCACTTTTTCATTGCTTAGTCATAACATAAACTCTTCCCAGTCTGACCAGCTCGTCTAAACAATGCTGTTTTTTTTTTTTTTAAATGAAGAAATACAATTAATATTATGCAGAATTGAGTTAAGCATTTTGGCCCGGTCCTCCACAATATTTCTGTTTCTCATGTGGCCCCACGGAAAAAATAATTGCCCATCCCTGGTGTAGCGCTTTAAAGTTATTTCCCCACACCATTTACTCTCTCAAAGTTATATCTGAAGTGATTCGTGCATTTTTAAACAATCTTTAATTGCTTATTTTCAAGACGGTATTTTGCCACCGCCGGTATATGCACCCTGCTTTGTATTTACTTTGTTCTCCAATTTTATTTTGTTAATTTATAATGCGCATAGGATTCTTCTCTTTGATGTGATGTTTACAGCGATGCTCCCATTGTGCACCACAGTTTTCTAACACGGAAGTCGGTGGAATTGTTTCTTTTATTAAGTCATTTTAGATGAATATCTTGATTTAAAATATGCAAATGATAACATAATGATCCACAGGTGCCAGAACTTATAAGTATTTATATATCAGACTCAAACACAATAGGTCTGCCCTACATTAGCACTTTGAGAAGGTGCCTGTAAAACATAATGTGGTTATATCCTACATGATGAACACATAGCACTTTCGTAAAATGGTTTGATTTCTGTATGTCATTCTTCAATTTGACTGATCCAGACACAGTGATTTTTCCACATTTAAAAGCTTAAAGCAGCCAGCTCCTCTCCTCCTCTTTATCGCTCTGGCCCTGATGCCCCGCCCCCCCGTCTTTCACACTCACAGCAGCAGAGAATTTGATTGACGGCTCTGACAAACTCTGTGTAAACCTGGACTATCTCACTGACACTGATGTGGGGGAGGCTCTTATTCTGATTGACAGATGGGTTCAATCCTGGCTGTACAACACACGTAAGCTCCGAAAATACACGCTCGGTGAAACATTTAGTCTTGACTCTCGTGGCTTTTGAACTCTGGAGGGGCAGGTTGAGAGGAAGTCCAAATAAACACGGCGGCCCCTTCAAAGTAAAAGGCTAATAATCCTGTCAAAATAAGTGCAACTGGGGCATGCTGGGAGCTATGACTCGCTGGGGTCTTAGAAAAACACAAGAAAAATATGTTTTGCTTCTCAGTCTCGAGAGGAGGGTAACTGGATCTGTTTTTGGAGAACGGTCGAGGATTTAAACTGGCACGCCATATTGTGGAAAATATGCAGTCGATAAGATAAAAACATGTGGTCCATTGGAAAAGCATCATTATTTATCTAACATATCACATTTATTGAATATTTTTTCCACGTCTACCATACACCAGCTATACTAACAAATACTCCTTCCTGTTAACAGATAAAGCCTGTTAGTATCTAAACAGTGCTGAAAAACTGAAAACTGAAGTGCTTTTTATAATCAAAATACCTGGAGTTGTTGTGATTTCATGTGGTAATACAGGAAGTGCTCTACTGTGTTTTTAAACTCCATATACCTTCACTAGAATCGTTTGGATGATACAGTATCTTCCCTGGAATTGCCGATCTCTATTGAACTAAAGGTATAGCTGTTAACTTGAAAACTACCACTTCATGACATCACAAGGTAGAACAGACTGTTTTAAGATTTAGACATGTAGACAGACGAATAATAAAGGGTTACTAAAACACAGTGATGGGAAGAATACTTTGAATATGTTTTGAATACCTGCATTAAAATGTATTTTGTAACATATTCCAATACATCAACCAATCTTAGTACTGTATTCTGTATACTTACTACCGTATTTTTCAGACTATAAGTCATACTTTTTTTCTTGGTTTGGGTGATCCTGACTTATAGTCTGGTGCAACTTAAAATTATCATACTGACAGCCATGAGAGGGCGCTCTAGGCTCACGTGTCAGTATCTAGTACTACTATTACTCCTGTACCACTGTCACTTCGCACTCTACTGAGCATGCCTCCTGTAGAACAACCTGCTGTCTTGCTACAAATAGTGAAATATTCAGTTTGGAGTGAGCTCTTTATCTCTGGAGGTCACACAGAAGTGACACAGAGGATGAAGAATTCAATGGATTTAGTGATTTGGAGTGAGATGGTGAGTTTGGTAAACTTATGTTCTGTTGTTTATTTATGCTATACAACAAAATACTTAACAAGGTTTTGGTGTGAATTATTTCCGTCATAAAACATATTTCTTCATGTTGTCTGCACTGAATTGAATCATGGGATATAGAGTTCTCTATCTTTATAAGCTGTTACTATTATAAAACCATGCATTTAAGCAAAGGAACTTGTAATTTGACTTTTGACAATTCAATATCACGATATTTTGGCTATTGATACATCCCTACTTACGAGCTTTAAGCCACGTTATAATGTTGTTACCTCCTCAAAAACATACCTGAAGTTGTGTTTTGTTTCATTCACACATGTTTGAGTAATTGTTTGAGTAAGTGTTTTCTGTTTGAGACAAAAAGCTCAGCCTAAACACGCAGGATTTGTGTGTTATACTGTGCATGTGTGAATGAAACAAAACAAAACTCCGGGTCTGTTTGTGAGGAGAAAACAACATTATAACATAAATCAGAAAACTGCGTAATGTGGGCCCTTTAAAGCTCGCAAGAATCCATTTTATATAAGAGCTTTAACAGTGAAAAGTACATTTAGCATCCTCCCACCAAAACAGCACCGCGCAGCTTTTCTAAAATAGCCCACAAATGTAACTTTTGGAGCAGAGTCTGACTCACTGGGTACAAACGCTCTGATGTGATTGGTGCATTTCCCTGGAGGGCCTCTCGCCACTCTTCACTTAATGAGATTTGGGCCGTGATTGAAAAACGAAGCAAACAGAAGCGCATTGAAAATAAATGCGTATTGCCATATTAGCCCGCTCCTTATCTTTCAACCCAATATGCATTAGCTGTTTTCCTCCAGTATTATTCCCATTACCGCGCTTTAATTAAAACCACACAAACTGTCTCCTAATGGGATCACCGCCGTACAAATCGAAGGCCATTACAGTGGGAGGAAGAGGGGAGAAACTATAGTGTTGTACAGTTGGGGGATTTTGACTCTAGTGATGTGTTGTTGTTGTAGTAGTAAGCAGAGTTGGATAAAGTACTCAGTTTTGTTGCTTAAGTAAAAGTGCAAAGATAAAAGTTACTCACATGAAAAAAATCTACTTAAGTAAAAGAACCTGTTTAAAAATGTACTTTAAGAGTAAAAAGTAAAAAGCTGAGGCACTCAAAAAATACAAAATAATTAAAAGCATTTAATATCACCATGATTTTAACTTTATCTGCCATGTAGTATTAAAGGCTTTTAATTATTTTGTACTTTTTGAGTGCCTCAAATTTGTCAGCTTTGTATTTGAGGCTGGAGAGTGACTGAAGAGCACCAAAAGGACAATTTTGCACAATCTCTACACACCCAAAAAGCACTCCAGCCTCCTAAAGTTTTAAAAGTATTTTGCACATATTTTTAGAACAACTAATGGATGACATGTAGTTATTTTGAAAAGAATTTTAAGCGATTCAATTCATTTCTTAACTTTTCTAACATCCCAAAGTTGAGACGTTAACTCAAATTAAATGTGCTAAAATAAAGTCACGCCGTAAAGAAAAGTACTTTTTACTTTTCAGTCCTGATCTAAAATATAGCAGATTAGAAAGTACAGATACATGTTCTCAAATATAGTAAAAAGTATCCAGTGTAAAATGTACTTAAAGTAAAGTACAGATACCTAAAATTTTTACTTAAATATTGCACTTTTACTTTTGCACTTTGTTACCTTCCACCACTGGTAGTTAGTGGTAGTAGTAGTAGTAGTAGTAGTAGTAGTAGTAGTAGTACTAGTAGTACCTTATTTTCTCCCTCGATGACAATGACGGGGACAGACGTAGCAGGCCAGCGGTGTTTAGCAGGCAGAGGCTTGTCACAATTCCACAATACGATGATCTGAAATGAAATAATATGAGAATATCATCATTATCATCATCATCATCATCATCATCATCATCTTTATTCCGGACTCATGGTCCATTTAAAAAACAGACAAGGACAGTGACATTACAAAACAATAAACACTCATATTTTGAAAAGACAACCACACAAGTGTCTCCACATGTTGGACTGATATCTTATTGCACTGAATCTCATATTTTTGAGTGACATTATTATTTCATTTTCTGATTTGTTCAGTCTGCAGATAAAAGTGTACATTAAAATTCTTAGTGCAGCTTGCAAAGTGTTCACTCGAGTACAAGAACCAAACTTACAAGAGTACAAGAACCAAACTTTCGCATAAGAGTACAAGAACCAAATTTAGGCATAAGAATATTTGCCTGAGCATAGAGCATCCTACACTGTCTATACATATCATCATCTGTCATGTTAATTTTTGTTGTAACAGACAACACAACATTTGACAGGCAAAGGTCAAATCTCATGTGTTTAAAGAATAGATAGAATAGAATTAGAATTAGAATAGATTAGTATGAGAAATAAAGGCAGGGAAAAGCACAACAATGATAAAAACAGTAAATAAAACACTTTTACAATTGATATTTTGCAGCCGAAGTCATCAACATAAGCTGGAGGTGTGATGCTCACTGTAGGCACTGCTCTGGCTGGGGCTTTGTTATCAGTTCACATGAGCTTTGTTTGAACATAACCTGACCAGAAAGAACTGACTTTAATTTTTATTATTTTACATGGAGACGATTTTATTCATAACTGTAAGTGGAATAATACCAATCCTAATATATTTTAATTCAAATGCAATCTTAAACACTAATTTACATCATTAGAAAATGAAAACATTCCAAATAGATCAATGAATTACCCCCACATCTCTGCATGCATGTTGAAAATAATTTGTTTGTATATCTGCAATAAATTTAATGAAAACAATAAAGACAGGTGAGCTGATTGAGTTTTGTGAGTAGTTTTTTTTCACTTAGTCTCTCACGGACACTTGTATTGATCGTAGGCTCCTGAAAAAGTGTTGTTTAAGTCCATTATTGTGTCTCCATGGTAACTGCTGAACATTCCATCATAGAAACACATGTAGAACACCCAGAGTGATACCACAGCAAAGTGTCAATAACCCTAGAACTGACATAAGACATCTTTCTTGGCATAAGACATAAAACGCAAACTCCTAACACAAAACTGCACCATTTACCCAAAACTGTTAAATGAGATTCTTTGATTTCTCTGTTCTCGTGTTTTGTTTTTTCTTCACTCTTTCGACAGTGTGACATTTCGGTGCCCCGTGGCTCTAAATGTCATCTAATAATGCTCCGATTGAACTACAAAGAGCAGAGCAGCCCACAGCGCAGACAAAATACTGCAAAGAAACACCAACACTTTACCCATAATCCTTCACACACCTGACACGGGTTGGTACAGCGGAGTCCGTCGTGTAGGTGTAGATGTTACAAGCGTCTGACATGATATAAGCGTGTTTTGGAGGCAGAGTACTTCACTGGTTTTAACAAAGCTTCCCTTCACTGGTTGCTTGTGTGTTTTAGAATCAATTTTAAGATTTTACTGATCACTTTTAAAGCTTGTTTAGATCTTGCACAAAGTTACATTTACAGTTACTTAGGCAAGTCCCTGTTCGCTGTTCCGAAGTCCAGGCTCCAGACGAAAGGTGATGGAGCCTTTTCAGTCCAGGCGCCTCGGCTTTGGAACGACCTGCCTGAGGAAAAAAGGCTCGCATAGGGCTGGGCGATGTGGAGCAAAAAATATATTTCAATATATTTTGCTATATCTCGATATACAATATATATCTCGATATCTGTACAGGACAAATAACCCCCCAGAAACTACTGCACAAACAAATAGGCCAAATTCCACAAGGTCTTTTTTTTATCGAAGTGCAAAGAGGTAGGCAGTTCATGTTGGAACAAAGTGCTTCTGTGACATTTAAGATTACAAAAATCCCTAACTCCATAAATAATAATTTAAGTGTAAAATAAAAGAAATAACACATATTGCCTTCTTTTCATTCATAAATAAAACAACTCAACTCAAGCTCATCTTTGCATTAACTCTGTTAACTGTACCATAACCTTGAGCTCCTTTAGCAGAGGAACCTCGGGAGGTTCTTTATTATAACAGATCCATGTTCCTCACCAGCGTAAGGAGCTATGAGATATCCCCAATCCACTGCAGATCAAATCGAACGTTTCCAAACACTATTGCACAAGTTACACTGCAGCAGATTATTCGTTACAATCTTCTGCATAAATAAACTTTCCATTACTAAACTTTGCAACATATATAACACATAATGACTCTGGAGCCACATCAGCCCGTTTGAGATTATAATGTGTTTAATGCAGCTTTGCGCAGATTTGTTTATGTTTTACAGAAACAAATCTTAAAATTTCATTTGCATAAACAGCACGCTCCTTGTGCCTTTCGGACTAAAGGACACAACTCAGTGGAATGTGCTGCTGATGGGCTTGTCTGTAAATGTGGTGCTAGAAGCTTTTCACTGGCACCAAGTTTCAGCATTCACGGTGGTAGTGAGGAGTGAATGAGACACATGCAAAGCGGCGAAATCAGAATTGAATATAAGCATTATATCGATATATACAACAAACCACTTCTTAAAACCCACTTTTATCAGTTGTCCGTCCTTTAGCTGGTTTTAGCTTGATTTTATTCCATATTTATTTTTATTCTATTTCTTTTTATTTATTTATTATAATTAATTGTATTGTTTGCATCATTGTCTGTTTTTGCATGCTTTTTGGATGCTATTTTTATAATTTTTGTATTGTTCTTTGCTGTACAGCACTTTGTAAACCTTGCAGATTTATTATTATTTTTATTAAATGTGTTGTGGCTGTGTTTGACTAGTGGACATGGGTTATGGGTTCATCTTTAAGAGCTCAGACAGGAGACGCCATTAAAGATTGATGAGAGCTACATGAAAAACGAGGCCTCTGACACACGCACACAGAAGTGGGTTAAGTGTGGAAATGGTTTTGACTGAGACTGGTAAACGTAAATGAACTTGCTGAACTCTGATGGCTCTAAGTGTAAACAGTTTTTATTGATTATTGGGCTGTGAAACTAACTGTAGGTTCTGCTCCGTCTAAAGCTTAAGATAGACTTTAATATGAGTTTTATTTTATCACAATCTGACCAGAAAGAGCTGATTTAGTTGGAGTTACAAAAGGTGAGGCGGTGAGCTGTTAAAAAAGTTCTCTCCCACATAAAATTACACTCAGAAGCTCGCCAGCATTAGCCAACAGTTTTTCAGTTAGTCACTTTCATCTTGTGTGTTTCAAATGCAAAATCTAATATAATTTTACTTTTAAAGGTCCAATATTACATCAATTGGACAGTTGTGAGCTTGTGCAGGAGCTTGTGCTGGAGTTGTGTTTTTTCATAGTCCAATCCAATTTATTTCTATAGCACATTTCACAAGAAACAGTTTCCAAAGTGCTGCAGGAATACATACTAATAACAACAATAATAATATAATGATGAAATAAATGTTCAGATTTAATCATACTAGTCTTAAAACAATAAAACCAGTAAAATAAAATAAGAGCAAAACCATAAATACAAAAATACATAAAAAATAAATAAAATAAATAAAAGAGACCACACAACTCACGTGGTGTTAAAAGCCAGTAAAAGTGGGTTTTAAGACTTAAAACACTCCGCTGCGGGGGCTGTTCGGTTGTGGGGGACAGGCCCTGTACCGCATGGTTTTAAATCTCATCTTAGCCACCACGACCTGGAGCTAGCCCTTGGACCTCAGAGCGCGTGCGGGGGTGTAAATTTGGATGAGGTCTGAGACGTACTGTGGGGACAATCCATTGAAAGCTTTAAAAACAAACAATACAATCTTAAAATCAACTCTAAAATTAACAGGAAGTCAGTGCAAAGACGCAACAATTGGGGTTATGTGCTCTCTTCTTTTGGTTCTGTTAAAAGTCGTGCTGTAGAGTTTTGGACCAACTGTAATCGGTCAAGTGTGTTTACATAGTCTGTCGATATCTCCGATATGAGCTCAAAATGCTCTGTTCCACCTTGTGATGTCATGAAGCGGTAGTTTTGAAGTTAACATCTACCTTTTACCTGTAGTTCAGGGTTTCTAGTGAAGGTGTATGGAGTTTAAAACTGCAGTGGAGCATTTCCTGTATTAGCAATACTGATATTTCATTAGTTGCGTTAATGAAATTGGTTAGATAATACGATTTCACCTGCAAACAACATCTGTTTTGTCTTACAATTTGCAAATCTTTTTATTAGACAGGAGAGTTTGTTTAGCCTGTTTCATCAGTCCGTTTCACTTCGTAGAAACCGTGTCACAGTGTTAGAATTCGTTCGCTCGACAGTAGGCGGGTACTATTTATCATTTAACTAATCACTGCTATTTGGTCGTGATGTATGTAATACGCCGCTAACGGGGTATATTAAGCTTTTCCCAAATCCCGCAGGAAGAATGACAATAACATCTTTCCCCTTGATAAAATTCACCAAACATTCTCTTTATTCCGGCTCTAAATCCTCGATCTTGGGAATTGTCGACAACACTGAATGTATGACTCTTCGCTGATTGGCTGGTGCCCGAACTTGCACTTCTGGGTTTTTGTGAACCCTCTAGTATATTTTGATTCCTGACCTAGTTGCTGGAGAGAAATGAAATTGAGCAGAGGCACTAGGTGGCACCGGCCTGGCTAGAGTTTGTTACCTACTTTACATGTTTCAGAGCTCCTGTCTCACTAAGAGAATCACTAATTCTACTTTTAAAACTGAATACAGAATGAAACTTTACCAAACAACAACATATACTGTATATCTATATCTTCTTTCGAACATTTATGCTTTGACTATGCTTTGAATTTGAAAATATAATAATAATAGTGCATTCATCTTTTAACAATTTTGTGCATTATTCATTCGCTCCACACCCACACCAACCAACG